CCCCCCCCCCTTTAATCCTATCCAATCTGTTGCCAAATCCTGTCAATTTTACCTTTGTAACATCTCTCATGTACACCCTCCTCTCTCCTCTGCCACTGGCAACACCTTAGTGTGCTGGACTTCTTCACCTCAGGCCTGAACTAGTGACAAAGCCTCCTGACTTCCTTCAAGTTCCAGCTAAAATCTCACTTTCTATAGGAAGTGTTTTCTGGTTTTCCTTAATGCTAATACCTTCCTTCTGTTGATTATCTCCACTTTATCTTGTTTGTACATGGTGTTTGCATGTTGCCTCCCCCACTAGACTGTGAGTTCCTTGAGAGCAAGGACTATTTTTTGCCTTTCTTTGTAATTCCAGAGCTTAGCACACTGCCTAGCACACAGCAGTAGCTTAATAAATATCTAAAAATAAATAAATACAATATCAAAGTTGATTTTGCCACTTTTCTATATGAGTTCAGTATTTCACTACCCGTAAGAATCTGGTCTAATTTGAAGACTTGGGGATTAGATTTGTGTACTCGAGAGCATTTATTAAATGTTAAAAATAATGAAGCTCTTCTTAACACTGATTCCTAGGTTATTCAACTACAAATACTTTTCTATCCATTAAGTATTCAAACTACTATCCAAGTCAGTTCTTGCTCTTTCCTAGACGACACATTCCCCCCAGAACCACAACGTTAGTACCCATCAAAGATAAATGTACTCTAAGTTTTTTTTGAAGCCTAAAAAAATCCCTGCCATTCCAAATACAACTGAATAAACAAATAAAAACTGAAGTAACACTATTTAATAAGCTGTAGGTTTAGAATTTTGAAAAAAACACTTTTAAGAATGTATTCTAGAAAGAAACTATAAAGCGTAATATTAATACAAAGCCTTCACATACAAATTTTCTATCAACGTAACAAACAACTTAAAAGTATTATATTGTCCCAATAACACAAATTAAATTTAACCACATACTCACATAGACCAGAGAAAAGGGGGGGGGGGGGGAGAAAGTGTACTGAACTCCAATGGAAGAGATATAGTTTAAAACCTCTTAACCACTAATGACTAATTTCACAGCAAATAGGAGAGTAGGAAATGCATGAAAAGACCTAAAAAGCAACTGTTCTTAGACGTGTGCTCCAAACAAGGGCTTTCCAGTCTTCTCTCACTACATGTAGCCAGCCCATTTACATTCAAAAAGTTTCTAAAAACCTACAAATCACAAAATGCATTACTTTTCACTCTTCTAAAAAAATTGTTTCATTAAAAAAAAAAGCTTGCATATCTCAAGTTGCAACCATTACCACAAAACAACAGTAATGAATAGGAAACATTTAAAGCCTGAGAATTAGTCACAACTATCACAAAGAACAAACATTTCATCTGATGATTATTTTTATTCTTTGCCCTGCAAATGCTTGTGATTAAGATCTGTACTTACAACAAAAAAACTGAAAATAGGACATCCGATTAAACACCTTTGCAAAAAATATACATTTTATATAAATAAATTTCAAATCACAACATGTCTTAATTTTTCAGTCACTCCCCCTTCTAAGGCTTCATTAAGATTCTTTGTCCATTTGCTCTCATTTCCTTTTCCTTTTATATATAGTTGAAGTAATTACTTATTCTACTATTCTGGTTTGGTTTTTATTACTTTGCATTATTTCATAAAGGCCTTTCTACATATCTTTATAGCTTATAATATTGGCTTTCTTAATTTAAGTATTATACTATTTCACAACATTAACATACCAAAAATTCACCATTCCCTTATTATTGAACATGTTCAATAAGCAGCAGGGATGCTGCTACAAAAATCTCTGGAAAGATTTAAAAAAAAAAACAAATCCAACTACTCACTATATAATCTCAACAATGTAGTCATTAGCCAAAAGATTATTTTTTGGAACTTTACTCCAAGACCGCTTTCAGAAAAGACGCTATAAGTTTGGAATAAAGGTGTAAATGTAATGGTACAATCCCAATTGTTTCTCTTTCTCTGGCCATTTTCATAAGTATGAAGTGGTAGCTCTGAATTATTTGAAATTACATTTCTGATTAGTAGTGAAGTTTAGTATTTCATGTAAGTTACCATTTGTGCTTCCTCTTTTGAAAACTATCTGTTCATATTTTTGATCATTTAACCACTGTGGACTGGGAATTATCTCTGCCCATTTTAATGACTCTTTATATTTAAGATATTAAGTTTTTAAACTACCACTTGTCAATTGTTTGCTCCAATCTGCTTTTTTAAATTATTTTTGCTTATATTAAGTTTCTGTAATCTACCTTGTCCTTAACGATAATCTGTTATGTTTATTTAAAAGGAAAAAAGTCATGTCCCCTTCATAACTGAAATGAGCAAACTATCCTATTTTTTGGTAGTTAAAATATTTTTATGTCTATTATCCAGAGACATATGGTGAGATGTTATAGGCAATGTTCTCAAACATGTTTGTTAACTAATAAATCTTCACTAGTTTCTATTTTCTATAGTTTTATTGGACAATCTTTTGTTAACATATATGGTATCTTTATTGTCTAGTACTTGGTACTAGCTATTTGTATCTAAGGAGAGAAATAAAAAGGGGAGAGTGGCTATAACAGAAGGATAACAATTTCAGAATGTCATAAGGGTTTTAAAACTTTTTTTTATTATAAACTTAAACAGCAACAAACAGGAACATTTCAATATAAAAAAAGAGTATTTGACACTGTGAATAACAATTGTGGTATTTTTAAAAATGCATATATTAAACTTAACAAGATAGGAACAAAATTGCACTCCGTGGTATTGTTTCTTCTCTTCTCATCTGAGTATTTTAAAATGTTCTACTGATGCTCTTTTCTTTCTTTTTTGCATCACTATCACTCCCCACTAACTCTGTCCCAACTCCCAATGGAAGCTCTATCTTGTGAATCACAGAATTTAGAATGGAATGGACCTTAAAGTTCATATAGTTCAACTCTTTCATTTTACATAAGAGAAAACAGACCCAGGATGGTTAAGTGACTTGCCTAACATCAGTCACTTAACTAGTAAGTGGCAGATCCCAGATTTGAATGTAGGTCCTCTGACTAAATGGAGTGTTCCTTCCCCTAAATAACAACAGGATAAGCGATGAGTTAAATTTTTAAAAAAGGAAAAAACTTAGAACAAGAAGAATGAAATTAAAACAGAAAAAAAATCCAAATTAACTTGCTACAAATGTTTCATCTTCCTTAGTTTTCTTTATAAATGATATGGCACTCAGGAATACTAAAACGTTCTTTTGGCAACTATATGTCTTATACATGTTCCCATGCCTCTAAAGTGTAGTTCTCATAAAAGTAGGATTTTATGAGCTCCCTATTATGTATCATGTAAAAGTTCAAACTTCTTTGCTTGGCATTTAAGACATTACAAAATCTGGCACTACTCTACCCAGTCTTTTTGCAAATTACTCTCCCCTCCATGTACATATGATCTTGAAACCTGGTAAATATCCCCCGCTGCACTCCTGATAAATTTTTCTTCAACTGTCTTTTACATGACTGTGGTTGTATTATGATCTAACTACGGCACATATGATTGAAAATGTTGCCTATTACCCAGTGGTTCAATACATCTGAATCTTGATATTTGTAATTGATGGCAGAAACTGCAAATGCAAACATTTGATCAAATAGGGTAACTATATTTTTTAAATGTTCATCCCAAATAAAATGTTTCACATGTTTAAACCATTGCAATTTCTTCCAAATATTTAAAAAGAT